GAAGATTTTTTAAGATTTTTCCTATATATTTCAATGTAAAACTTGGATTCCCTAGTGTGGCCCCGCCCTACCCCCGGGGGTCATGATTTGAACAATTTATAATCTACACTACCCAAGGATGCTTCCATATAAGTTTCGGCTTTTCTGGCCCAGTGGTTCTTAAGAAGAAGATTTTTAAAGATTTTTCTTATGTATTTCAATGTAAAACTTGGATTCCCTATTGTGGCCCCGCCCTACCCCCGGGGGTCATGATTTGAACAATTTATAATCTACACTACCCCAGGATGCTTCCATATAAGTTTCGGCTTTTCTGGCCCAGTGGTTCTTGAGAAGAAGATTTTTTAAGATTTTTCTTATATATTTCAATGTAAAACTTGGATTCCCTATTGTGGCCCTGCCCTACCCCTGGGGGACATGATTTGAACAATTTATAATCTACACTACCCCAGGATGCTTCCGTATAAGTTTCAGCTTTTCTGGCCCAGTGGTTCTTGAGAAGAAGATTTTTAAAGATTTTTCCTATATATTTCAATGTAAAACTTTGATCCCCTATTGTGGCCCCGCCCTACCCCTGGGGGTCAAGATTTGAACAATTTATAATCTACACTACCCTAGGATGCTTCCGTATAAGTTTCAGCTTTTCTGGCCCTGTGGTTCTTGAGAAGAAGATTTTTGAAGATTTTTCCTATATATTTCAATGTAAAACTTGGATTCCCTATTGTGGCCCCGCCCTACCCCCGGGGGTCATGATTTGAACAATTTATAATCTACACTACCCAAGGATGCTTCCATATAAGTTTCGGCTTTTCTGGCCCAGTGGTTCTTGAGAAGAAGATTTTTAAAGATTTTTCTTATGTATTTCAATGTAAAACTTGGATTCCCTATTGTGGCCCCGCCCTACCCCCGGGGGTCATGATTTGAACAATTTATAATCTACACTACCCCAGGATGCTTCCATATAAGTTTCGGCTTTTCTGGCCCAGTGGTTCTTGAGAAGAAGATTTTTAAAGATTTTTCTTATGTATTTCAATGTAAAACTTGGATTCGATATTGTGGCCCCGCCCTACCCCCGGGGGTCATGATTTTAACAATTTAGAATCTACACTATCCCAGGATGCTTCCACATAAGTTTCAGCTTTTCTGGCCCAGTGGTTCTTGAGAAGAAGATTGATTTTTTAATGACCCCACCCTATTTTTGTCTTTTCTTGATTATCTCCCCTTGTAAGGGGACTTGGCCCTTTATTTTAAGAATTTACACTCCCCTTCACCCAAGGATACTTTGTACCAAGTTTGGTTAAAATTGGCCCAGTGGTTCTTGAGAAGAAGTTGAAAATGTGAAAAGTTTACAGACGGACGGACGGACGGACAGACGGACGGACAGACGGACAATGGGTGATCAGAAAAGCTCACTTGAGCTTTCAGCTCAGGTGAGCTAATAAAAGTGGAGAAAATCATAATTTAGCAATGGACATGCCTTGTGTTTTCTTTGTCACCTTCTTTGTTTTCACAGTCAGTGCATGTGCAAACAGAATTTTGCAGCACACACACAGAGCTCAGTAAACCAGATAAGACAATAGCTGCCCCAGGTAATTCTTGCTTCCAAATATTGAACAATTCAATTGTGAAATGCAGTAAATTTGACGAGTGATGTGGTCCATTGTTTGCCAATAAAATTTTCACTCATCAGGGTTCTCATTAATGCAAGAATCTGCATACTAGATACAGAAAAATTATTTGGAACACAAGGTTCTTAAAAACAATGCGTCCGTGAACTCATGATTGGACTTGCCCTCGTTGGCGAGAAAATTCGGGTGTCCTCAAAAGGGGCATTTTTAGATGTCAAGATTTGTCAAAAATATTTAACCAAAACCTTCCTGTAAATATCATAAAGTTTATCGAAGAAACATCTCTTCTTGTAGTATCTATGTCTATTTTTTTTAAATAGGGAGATTAAAAGATATTTCATGATTATCATAGTCCATAGTCTTGACAGTGTCGCATGCCAAACTCCAATAGCCTTAAGGAGGCTCATTACACCCACAGTTTATTTTAGATTTCATTACAGCACCACGTATTATGAAGATTTCAAATATCCAAATGGAGGTTATGATACCATAAATATTTTTGAAAATTTTTTAAATCTTTTTTTCTGATTTTTGTTAAATGTTTTATTTCAAGTTTCTGATCAAATTGCAGAAATCTCAGTGTCAAGTATGGATATCATCTTCAGATATGTAAGCAATATAATAACACTTCATATTATTCAACAGTATTTTTATTAGAAAAAATAATTTTCTCCCAAAAGAGAATTAATGTTATTTTCTTCTTAATCTTTGCATAAATAATTTGGAAAATCAGTTATAAATAGACAAGGAATGTATATTAATGAATAACAGGTGACAAATTGAATGAAAAATGTTTTAAGGAAATATAAATTCCAATTTAAAAAATAATTGGAATAAAAAGTCCACTTGCAAGAGTTATCTTTCCTAAATCCCGACTCAAAACACTCAGGAACGGTTGAACATATCAGATTCAGAATAAGCTAAAATTTCTAGAATAAATATACATTTTTCAAAGAAATAAAGACAAGCACACAAACCAACAAGAGTACAGTACTCTAAAAGCACAAGTCAATTATAATTTATTTCAACGAGATTGTAGATTTCAACTCAAATTTCCTCTATACATACACACTGTCAGTGGTAGAACTTGCTGCTTTTACATTGTACACTACTTTGGTAGCAAAGATTTGACTGTCATTCTCTTTGGTCTCTACTTAAAGTTAACCTTTCTTCATTTGTGATTCATAATGAATCCGTAACCTTGTTCTCAGTGTTTACAACATCGCATGTAGTCTATTTTTAGAGCGTTTTAAAGATTTAGATCATAGCAAAGTGAACCTGTACAATACGTCCCCAGGAGAAAATGGACGAAAGGAGGTTTATTTTTCTGTGTAGTACGTCATCAGAAAGTGGTGTAATGAGCCTCCTTAAACACACAGTAGCTTTTTAAAAATACACTTTTGAAGCTTGTGTTTTATCTCGAGACCATAATCATGATAATTACAGCTTGAATACACAATGTGGCTTGTTTGTCTCATGAATTTCACCAAGTGCAGCTGATAGACAGGATTAGTTACGCCTCATTGCACATGACACCTGTGATTGTTTAGATGAATTTCACATTTACGAAAGTTATTTCCCTTTGCGGGGTCAATCTGGGGTCAACCGGCGTAGGACACTGTTTTCCCTCTATAACATTACCAAATTTTGGGGTAGCCCGCGTGGCAGTGGTTAGAGCGTCTGCTCTAGAGTCACGAAGTAAGGAGTTGATCCTTACGTCGCGGGTTTGAATCCCACTGTGGGACGTGGAGACCGGTCCTTGGGATGAGACCGTATAAACCCAGGTCCCATGTCGCAGTAGGTGTTGGCACGAAAAAGATCCCTCACTGCTCAATGGCCGTAAGTGCCAAGCATAGGACAAAATTTGCAGCTCTCCACCGGCAAGTGGTGGCATCTCCATATGAGTGAAAAATTCTCGAGAGGAACATTAAACAACATACAAACAAACAAACAAACTTTTGGGGCAATAACTCGCAAATTAAATCCATTTAAATATGTTCATTATGTTTTTCATATTTCCCCACACTAAGGCAATTCAGGAACGGGTCAAAATTGTCCGATTCCCTTTGAAGGTTGAAAATATTTACAGGTAAGCTACTAAGGATATAGTGACAAAAATGAGTGTTACGCCAACAACGGGAGATAACTCTTAAGAATGTGAAATTCGTCTATACGATCAACTTGAGAGTACTTGATATTTAGCTTTTCAAACACAAAGTTAATTTTGATGGCAATTAATTACGTGTGTATCTTAGAATATGGCTTAGATGCATTACCAATTTATATATTTGAATATTTTAATATTGCATAAAATTAACTGTTAAAATAAAGATCGATCTTTATTGTTGTTTGAATGGAAGGATACTGCAATAATTGAATTGGGACTCAAACATAATCTTTTGGGGACGCAGCAAATTTATCTGGGACTATACCTTCTCAGAAACCTTGAGTCTTGGGACTCAGCAAAATCCTTGTGTGAACCCTGACTCATTACAGATACAGCAAAAAAAATTATATATAAAATATTGATTTGATATTTTTTGTGATAATTATTAATTTTATATTTGAATTTCAATTTCCAAAATCTCAAAATTAATTTAGTATTCAAAACTTCTCAAAATACATTTGATAGTCATACTTGAAGAAAAAAGATCTATATTTGCTTTATATATTTTAGCAAATTTGTAATACGGATGGAACAAATTACTGATTTAGTGAAGTAAATTCACAGGTCCCCAAGACTTTGCTATAACTGAGTTATTTGTATTTATACATAATATTAATTTATAGATATAAATGTAAATATCAGGAATCACTGTCTAGTTCTTTGGGCATATACCAGGGAAATTCACCACAGTTAAAAATGTGGGATAATTTGCATAACCGACAAAGCCCATTATGCATAAATTCACCTACGCATAAAAGACAGTTTGAAATGTGGGATAATTTGCATAACTGGCTAAGATTATAAATAAAATATCCCATGTTTCCAACTGTCGTTAATATCCCTGGCATATCCAACAAAGAAGACAGTGATTCCTTAATTGTTCTTTTACTCTCACAAGTACCACAGACCTAAAGCTTTAGGTCTAGGTTGTTGTACTCAAAATTGTAACAAGATCTTACTGCATCAAACTTCCATGAAAAAAGAGCACACTCAAAGAAAGTTACTCTACAAAGTCATGATAAAACCGACAGATTTCAATACAACTTGATAAGTTTCAACTCCTGCAAAAATCTTATAGAAAGAAATCTCATAGCCGGCAAAATTTCTCAACAGTTAATTTTTCTCTTATTGTAAACACTGCTAATATCTTATAAATTGCCTTATGCTGAGTGTTCAGCTCAGATAAGGTAATAAAATATACAACACACCTTGATTCAAGTAGGTCAAGGTCTCCTCATTCAATTTCACAGCAGGGGAGGTGGCTGCTCCAAGGATATACTGATATCTATAAAAGTCAAAAAATTTAGTCTAAATTTTTCATCTGCTTTATTTTCCTTACACTTATTTCTTTCACCTTTTTTTGCTCTGCATTAAAAACTTTACATACTTACAATTATGTTGTACAAAATTACATACCCTGAAGTCAATTCTCCTGGTGATTTATTGTACTTTAAAACCAGCATACTCTTTGATATCTTACCCATTGTCCAAATTCTCCGATTTGAATACAGGCAATGCCAGCAGGGCTTCACTGAAGGACAAATCAACATGAATAACAACTTCAAAAATATTTCAACATTTACAGGCACTTTTGCATTGCATTTTATCCTTAATATAATACACAAATATATCTATCAATTTGTAATTCTAAATAAGACTAGACAAATAGCACTGCCTGATGCATGGGAAAACCATATTAGCTATTTGATAGGCAATACACATGAACTTCATTATCTCAACTCCAATATCTCAAATACCAGGGATTTGATGCAGTGAGTTGGCAGTCCAAGCCATCTTTTCCTTCACAATTTTAACCCTGTCAACTCGAATTCTTGCATATTTCAAAGTTTGATATAATGAGGTTTGACTGTAGTTGCCTGTGGACAAGTGATTTTTTTATTTGGTTAAACAAAAACAAATAAAACTAGAAAGTCTGCCATTGCAAGCAATAGTGTATGCCACCTCGAAATGAACCATCATAAGCTTTAAGATTCTTCAATCCTTCAAGAAGTGAGTATATGTAGAAACAGAAGAGAAACGTGTTACATTTGCAAGCTTTGGTCGAACCAAAGTTATTGAATGCGAAAGTAGAGCGTGCAGAGTCATGCAAGGTTCACGTCAAAACTTGGTAGAAGCAAAGTAATTCTTGAATTTTCCTCTTTAAATTGGGTATTTCTGCATTGGACATGGGCTGACTTTTTTTTATGAGATGATAAACTATGCGTAAACTTTCTTAGCTTAGCAGAATCATGAACATTTCAAGCGTGCTGAAGGTTTTGTCTACAGAAGTGAAGAGGCCTTTGCCCACCTGAGGGAGCTGATTCCAGGATTTTCAATTAACAAAAGGCCCAAGGGCCTTAACGATCACCTGAGTATTATACAACACTGTAAAGGATCCATAGAAGTATAAAACAAAATTAACTGATAGACGAAGCAATGTTGCCCAAGAATTTCAAAAATCTGGTTAAAATACCCTTGCTTATTGTAAAGTGCTTGACCCGAGTGATCTCCTTGGATCATACTTGGTTTTCCAAAGTCTTATAAGGATGATAATGAATGCAAAATATACAAATACAATGGACACTTGCCTATTGTGTAAGGTATTCAATATATATACAGATATATTTTTGTCACTTGCCTAGTGCTACTGTAATTCAGTACACACAGACTTGGGTATACAACGTAGCTATTTGCCACTTGTCACTTACTACAATAATTATAAGCCACCTGGTTCTCTGTGATTCTTTGTTCACTTTGAAAAAGTATAAAACAACTATATCTAGTCTCATGTCAACCATGACTCTTTTACCAGTGACAGTATCTTAGATCACCTCAGTGTAAACATACTGGGTACAATTACGACTTTTGCTAATTATAAAAATAATCTTTATGTCAATCTTTTTTATTGCTTTACAGGCAAGAATATGACTTTGAGCATGCTTTGCTCATTTAAACCAAACATTCATTTTTATTTTGTTTCTATATATATATAACATTCTTTCCTGTATTCTCATTCAATCAAATAACCTGTTAATTAAGGTATATACAAGGATTTCTTGATTAACAACACTTAGCAAAGGGGAGTAACTCTCACTTGCTTCACCTATCACAATTATGTACTCTGTTTGCCTCCTAGATACCTAGAAGCAAAGAAAAGGCACATTTACTTGTAATTATATTTTAAATTAATACATTTACATTGGATATTATTGCATTTAGTTTGTTTGCTTAGTACTCAGGGGGCAGAGAAGGAGATTTTCAAAACATTAATGCATTTCTGCTAATTTATCAACAAAGTCCCACCCAAGCACAAGAACCCCTGACCGAGGAGCCATGAAATTCCTAATTTTGGAAGAGTCACCCTTTCTCATCATAACTATGTATTTAGTTTGTTTAATTAATACCAAGGGGCAGAGGGGAAGATGTTCAAAGCATAATTTATTTTCAGTATATAATAAATATCCCCCCCCCCCCCCCCCCCCCCCCCGAAATGGAACCCCTAAGCCAGAGGCCATCAAATTAATAATTCTGGAAAAGGCACTCTACCTCATCATAACTATGTACTTAGTTCATCAGCTTAATACCCAGGAGCAGAGGAGAATATTTTCAAAGCATTAATTTTTTTTCCAATATATAATAAATAAGCCCCCCCCCCCATGAAACCCCTGACCCAGGGGCCATACAATTCAAAATTTTGAAAGAGGTACTATTCCTCATCATAACTATGAACTTAGTTCATCGGGTTAATACAGTTCATCGGGTTAATACCCAGGAGCAGAGGAAAAGATTTTCAACGAGTTGATGCATTTTCACTATCCATGTCTTAACACCAGAACCCCTGACTCAGGGGCCATGAAATTCACAATTCTGGAAGAGGCACTTTCTTGTCATAACTATGTACTTTGTTCATCAGCTCATTATCCAGGAGCAGAGGAGGAGATTTTCAAAGAATTAATGCATTTTCACTATATAATCATTAGAGCCCCACCCTAACACCAGAACCCCTCACCCTGGGGCCATGGAATTCACAAATTTGGAAGAGGCACTCTTCCTCATCATATCTATGTGCTTAGTACACCAGCTAGATTTTTAAATAATTAATGCATTTTCACTATATAATCATTAGATCCCCGCCCTAGTGCCAGAACCCCTGACCCTGGGGTCATGAATTTCACAATTTTGGTACAGAGCTCAATGCTTATTACAATCATACCAACAGTTTGACTGCTTGATGTCCAGGAGCAAAGAAAAAGATTTTTAAAGATTGCATTAATTTTGATGGTTTTAGCCTCAACCCTTGGCTTGCAGTTACTTGAGAATGGACTAAAGATGCACACTACCAGGCTTGCTTCCTCTAAGGATGCTCTACAGCATCTGCTTCTCTTTGTACACGAGTGCTGCAACAGTCCTATTTATAGTCCTATGTATTTAAGTATCTAATACTATAGATGTATGACTTAATGCAATATACGACATTATTTTCTGATATAATAAATTCTGAAAAGCTTTATCTGACTGGATAGAAATATAAGTGCAAACATATTTTCTATAGAATATAGAATCTGTGGTAATTGTCAAATCCTTTTCGTAGTGAGAATCTGAGCCTATTAAAGTTCTTATTCTAATTAAATTGAAATTAAATTATCAGAGGAGAGTATTTTGTGAGTGTGAAGGACTTGTTTCCAATATTTATATGTGCATATATTCAAAAAATTGAATGTCTCACCAATTTTCGTTTACTATATAGGGGGAAAATAACTCGCGGTGTTAATATTCGCTATATTCATGGTGTTAATAAATCCGTGAATTCATTTTGGGGCTCTTTACCACCTCCCCTAATTTTATGTATACAACGCAACACATGCGTTTTAATTTCGAAAAGCATACAATAGAGTGTACTGCATAAGAAACTGTGCCTATGTTTTTTCCTTGTTGTATTGTTGAACAGTTCAAGTATTTACATGAGTAAATGATTGTTGCTTGTCTCCAATATAACATTCATGAAATATATGGAGATAATGAACAGTATTCAAGCTCAAAAGTCCATTAAACATTATAAAATAGGAGCAGAGCAAACACAGACCTCCAAAACATCAGAGGTGGGATCAGGTGCCATGGAGGAGTGAGCAATTACAATTAGTATGAAAAACATCAGTCAGCATTTGACTCAATGATAAATCGTATTTCCTGACAAGGTCATTGTATCGACCATAAAACTTATGAAATGATGACTTTAAATGAGATTGCGGATATTCTTGTTTCATCAACTTGTTTGTCAATAATTTTCCTCGTTTTAGAAATTGTACATACGTAGAGCATGCTCTTGTGTATCGAATCAACTGAGAGATATAAACCCCGTATGCAGGTGATGAAGGTATATTGCTGCATAAGTAAGGGAAGTTGACGATTGAAAAGTTAAAGTCATCACCTTTATCATAAAGCTTGGTTGTTAGATTACCATTGACGTCTTTTTCAAGTAAAATATCCAAATATGAAACAAACGTGTCAGACTCTGTGGTATCTTTTATCTCAAGCTCACCGGGATATATTGTATGTGTTTATAAAAAATCATTTAAAATCGTTATGCACAGTCAGAATTAAGAATAGTAAACAAATTGTGTTCGGACCCCTTCCTCTACTTTTTTTATTTGATTAAATAAACTTTTTGATTGCAGATTTTCTCCTCCTGCTCCTCAATCAAAATTACCAACCTTGCCACATTATTCTTATAATTGAAGCAAAACCAGCTAAACTACTAGTCTTTAGTGCAGGGCCTCTTCTAACGAAAAAATGTCCCAGTTCATGTTTGTTGTAGTATTAAAATAGGTAATATATAATACATAGTGACAAATAAAGAATGTCCTGGACTATTCATATTTCAAAAACTTTACTTTTTTGTTTGTCATCCCCAAGAAATATTTATTTACCTCACTTGCACAGGGATTCCCTTCTATTTATAGATAAAACTATTAACCCTCGTAGTGCTGAACCCGGAATATTCCGGTAAACAAAGACATGAGCTGTGAGCTGAACCTGGAATATTCCAGGTGACAACAATGATATTTTTAAATCGCTATTTTAGTCGGTGAATGGAAATTTTGTCTAATAAAAAATTCCATTGCTTAGATGAAACGTGATTGGCTGTGTAAATTTAGACAGATGAAAAGGTCATGTTTATTCCGAGTGATTCAAAATGGCAGTCTATTCAAGAAAAATTTTTCAATGTGCTAGCAAACTTGTTTATAGTCCTAACCCGCAGTAGAAACTTGATAATTATTTACTACAAGATGTTTTCGACACTTTCTACAAAGAAGATTATGCTAAACATTGATGCTGGATGATCAACCCATGTCAAGGTTGGTTTCACAGGTGTAGATTTTGATACATGTCAGAGTTAAAATGATCCTAAGTATGGTTTTCCAATAAACTTAACAGGAATAAAGACAATCATATATTGACTAATGAAAATAATAGTTTAAAGAGGTCAGATTAAGAAAGAAATATGGCAAATGTTGAGATTCCACATCAAGG